GTTCCCAGGGCTTGCTGCCCAGGTATCTGAAGTTGGGAAGTGAAGGGGTGGGGGAGACAGAGAAAGAGGCCAATACATTATGATCGCCAAGCATGCGTTCATGTCAAACTTGCCCTTTACCCAGATGCAATGCAAATATTTGCTCTCAAGAAGTGAAGCACAAGACAGGTGAAGTCACTTAGAGCCGACAGTGGCAATCTCCATTCTACTAATTCCTCAGCTCAACAATCTCCATTTTATTCATTCCATAGTTCAATAACTCACTGCATGGAGCCATTTGATTCAGTCGAATTTTTGGAAATGTACAGCACGGCTTTGATGCTTAATAACCCTGTATACTGAAATATGTTCTGAGGAATATTAGTTCAGAAAGCCATCAAATTATAGAAATATATGCAATATGAGGAAGAAAAAATCATGTTACACCAGTACATTAGAAACTACTCTACCACTTCAGTGAGAGTCTAAAACTATGAGTGCAATGTAAGAAAGAGAACACCACTCTACCCAGAGCAAACTCAAGATTTTTCTGAATCTATTTACCAGTTAATACTTGGCTTCTAATTTTGTAGAGGAATTAGTAACTTAGTCACCTGTGAAATTTATGGTCACGCCTTGATTATGTAAAAAAAAAAAAAATCATCTAATTATTTAAGCTCTCTGGGTATAAGGAGAGTTATTATAATGAGAATATGAAGTTTTAAGATTATTTCTCAAGAAAATTATTCATTCTTGTAAGGCAAAAAAAAAAAAAAAGAAAAAGTAAAAAGATAGAAGGTTAATTTGCCCACAATAACTAATATATAGTCTCTGCAAGCAAAAAAGTAGTGTTCATTGTCTCAAATGATGGGGAGGGGTTGTTAATGGTGGAGAGGGCGAAGACATGGATGAAATGAGAAGAAAAACAAAAAGAAAAGTGTTTATATTTTAAAAAATATTTCTTTCTCATAGGACTTATTACATCTAACATCAAATCAAAGAGCAATAATGTCTCACTGGCCTCTTCTGAAGAAAGACACATGTTAAATACTGCTGTATTACCCTGCTTATAATGATACGATCCTAGTTGGAAAAAGAATTCATACCACCACAAATCATGTCTGCTTATATTGAAAAGTGACTTTTTCTTTAGTTTTTGATAAGACTTTACTTTCATAAACAAACAAGGAAATGTAATCAATTGCTTCTTTTCTTGGTCTGTGGTTCCTTGGCCTTGCCCAGCTAAGATTTCTACTTTTTTTTGTTGTTGTTGTTGTCCAGAGGTAAAGGGATACAGTTAAGCCACTGATATAGCCAAAGTATATTTAATTACTTCAGTGTCTCCCAATGGCCTCAGAGGCAGGCAGGAAAACCAACGGCAGCCCTGCACAAACCCGCCCGGCTCCTCTTGTTCTTCCTTGCTCTTGCCAATGTGCACTTTGCTTCGTGTAAAGACTCTCAGGGAAGATGCCAGTAATCTCTATTTTATTCCCTAAACATACAACCAAGGCTCCCTTTGTTGAGTTGAAGGAAACAAAAGTTTAAAGGTACATTAACTAGAATGTACCTTAGAAAAACTCCAAAGTATGAAAAAAAAAGCCTTAAGGGGCCTTGCATATAAAGCAGAAAACTTTCTCCAGTCAGCAGCATTTCTCAAAACTCAGAGTCCACCCACATGGCAAGCTACACAAGAAATGGAATCTGCAAAAATTTACTTTCCCTACTTATATTGCCGAACATCTACAAGACAAAAATAAAAGGATACACAGTTCTCTTTTTGAGAAAGTACAGTCCTTTCCAGCAGATGCATTAAAGTGAGATGAGAACCTTATGGCTGAATGGCTGAAGAGGTAGCAAAAGCCAGACCACTGAAAATGTATCTTCCAAATAATCAATGCCCAGAAGTTTTAAATATTTCTTTAGAGCCAAGAAATACTTCAACCCTGTGACTGAGATTATCAGTAATTGCCTTTAAAAGCAAGGTAAATTCTTAAGCATATATAACTAAGATATATACTACTTGGGTATAAAATGGTAGCAAGCACACTAATTTGGAAATTCTGAGTCATCTACCCTACTGACTGGAAGCTTGTTTCTTAACTACTCGCCAGCTGCCTATGTCTTGATCCTGGATTGAGAGAGAGATGAGCTGCCCAGCCCAGCACATACCATATTCTACCCCGGTCCTGTTTGCCCATTACAACTTCAGGTCCTCTTTCTGATTCTCCATGGCCAAGTGTAGTTCTTCTGCCATCTCTCAATCAATGGTCCTCTACAGTATTTAAATATTATCTCAATGAACTCTAAGTAACCATTTTTGTCCTTTGGTTTTATTTTAATTTTGCTATACCAGATATTGTATTAGCTGACAGAGGAGTCCTCTGGTTGATACTTGGAATTTTTCATTGCAACGATTATTTGTCATGATATTTCCTTTGTAATCCCAATCTAAGAAAACGTAACTATTTATTTATGCCCTGGTTTATTTCAGAAAAAATGTAAAGTTGTTTATACAAATACATATAATAAAATGATTATGGAGACAGGAAATGGGACAAAGGAGAAATTAAAGTAGGAAAGTTCAGATGAAATAGAAGAAAGGCCTAATAATACCAAGCTCAGTTTGTCAGACCACACACATGGAAGATCAGATTCCAAGCTTCTAAGGTTCCTAGCAGTCAATGGAAAGAGAGAGATGTGCTTACATTAGTGGCTGAAACACTGCGGCCTGCTGGTCACATCCAGCCCACCATCTGTTTCTGCAAATAAAATTCTGTATGAACGGAGCCACACCCAATTACTTACATACTATTTATGGTTGCTTTTATGGAGCAATAGCAGAGCTGAGTAGTTGTGACAGACCTACAAAGCCTAAAATAATTACTATCTGGCCTTTACAGAAAGACAGTTTGCAGGTGCCTGTTGCATGATTCTGTGTCTATGAGATAAAAGCACAGCAACTTCCAAGGATAAGCACATTCTCTGTATGGTTCTGAAACAAAAGAGAACTTCCTACTATAAAGAGCTCACTATGTAATCTCCTGAAAAAACAACCTTAGCTTCATTTTTTTTACTGTAAATATGGCAACAGGTTTCACGAGTCAGTGGCATGATATCACAACACAAGTAGTAACATGATTCTACATAAGGCTGAAATGATGCAGTTCAGGGGAGCCTCTCCTGGTCTGGCTTAATTCGGGGAGGATCTGTGTAGATGTCGAGCGTCAGCTCCATGCAGCCCTTCCCCACCATCCTTCCTTATGCCAGGCAGACATGGCTAATGAATCAAGGTGTTCTCTCCAGCTAAGCCTTGATGTGTCCTCTGAAGTCTTCTCTGAGTTCCCTGACAGCCTCAATCAATCATTAGTAGTTGGTATGCAAGATAAAACCAATTATGTCATCTTTGCTCTAAGGCAATTTTCCACTAACATTCTCTCCACCAAGTCTGATAAGTACTCGTGTGCTGAGGCTGAGGTTATACTCTTTGCTAAGTTCTTGAAGCACAGCTCTTCTGTCCTGGCAGTATGCACAGCTGGCCCTTTAAGACCATCCACTGGATTGCCATCCTCCTGTGAGAACCAGGAACCTCACAAGGATGACTGCCTGAAGAGAAGATCCCACCACACCTGGACATATGCAGGATGAGAGAGTGTGTGAGAGCAGGGCCTGGTGTCTCCTCAAGAAAGGGTGGGGAAACTGCTCCTCTGCACAGACTGATGGGTGGGCAGGGCCAGAAAATGGGGCACTGGCATTTTATTTAGAAATGCTCAACACTCATCTTGTTCAAAGAAACAAAAAAACCCTCAAAGAGCCACGAACCAGACCCAATGACCTTGAACACATGTATTTCTAAAGAACCCCCCTAAGCAACAAGGGTTCCAAAATAAATGCAAATAAACTAGAAACAGTTCAATGTTGGGGGAGGATGACAAAACTGCCAACTACAGATTTAGAGAATACATCTGTAGCCTTGCTCTATGTCCATTTCTTCTTTGTGACTCTAAAACCATGTTACAAATTGATTATATTTCTATTCTATATAATAGGGGAACAAAAATTCAGGTTATCTAAAAGGGTTGTCAAGTTTTTAATAAGCAAACCTAAGAGAATCAGACCTACTCTTATTTGACCTCATTGGAAATTGCTCCTTGATCTATAACTGACTCCTATCCATGTTGTCAAAGGGAAAGAAAAAGACAAAACATATTATAAATCGCCTTACAGTATTCCTAGCAGTTTTTTCCACCAGGTGATTAGAAAGCATAAAACTAGAAAATAAGTAAAAACATGTATGCCTAATACCTTCCTCCTTCTTACGGGTTTGTGACTGTGTTCTAGAAAACACCAACTATGAAGAAATGAAACATAACCATACTTGACAGGGGAGTCAATATAGCCAACAGACATGATGGAGGAGTAATGAAGGAAACTTTCCTTCACTCTAAAAGGAGCAAATACTAACAAACATTACCATTTACTCTTCTAGTACCATTGCCTAGGGTTCAAGTCCAGATGACTTAAGGCGACATCTAGGCACATGAGAATGTGGACATTTTGGACCCTGCATAGCGTTACAGAAAAAAAAATAAATAAAACTTAATAGTCAATTAAAACATTGAACCCAGACCACATGGTAGCAGGTAGTTGGTATTGCTTTTTCTGGAACCAAGTACAGGGATGCCTAGTTATGAAACAGACTTGAAAGTGCACAGAACATTAACACAGAAAATTCTGGAGGACAGCGAACGCCCCTCCGTATCAGGTGTGGGCTGATCCCTGCTTCTCCAAGCAATTATGACACCCTCCCTGTCCTTCGATGTGCCCTCAGCCCAAGCTGGAGGTTGGAATAGACTGGTGGGTGTTGGATGATGTTACCTTAGAAAGTTTTTTCACAACCGTCGAGGCCATTAAAGTCTGTGCTTCCAAAAGACTGCCATTCCAAACACCTAGCACAAAGAGCCCCCTTCTCAGAACCTCTTTTGCTAATTTCTTCAAAACCAGCTGTAAAGGCTTCTACTTACGTAATGCATACAAGGTGAGAATTATTCCAGCCAGGCAAAATCCTTCAAAAAACCTGAGTGTGCTGAACATTGTCACATTCACTGACAGTGCCACGGTCAATCCAAAGATCAGAATGAAGGTGATGGAACATAGCAGCACAGGCCGCCGGCCGACCCTGCACAAAGAGAAGTAAAAAGTTAGAAGTCATCATTAAACAGGGCCATGATGCTAGACGCTGAAACCCAGTATGCGGCAGGTATTCCAGAGATGCTGGATGAGCACCGGGCTAAAAGTCTTCCCTCAACTGAGACCCACTTTGGTATATCTAGGGATAGAAAAGCCCTCAGGAGAAATTTAGTCCAATGCCCTCACTTTGTACATAAGGGGACATAGATTAAACAGCTGCTACATAGTAAAATTGAAACAGGAACCCAATTCCTGTTGGTAAGTCTATTTTTAAATACATAGGAGCATTATTCAAGGCAAGAGTAACAAAATGAGTAACAATACCCCAAACATAAACCTTGACACACCCAACATAAAATGTCTTGAGAAATCACTGACCTTTGGAATTGGCTCTGAAGTCAACACAGACACTCAGCGAAGCAGCTTCACATCCTTTGTCAGGGCTGCTAACTAGCCAGGTACCTGACCTCACACACAGCCTATCAGAGCCAGGGCCAACCCAGCGGCTGCTTGTTTCAACTTTATGCTGAGAAGTAATTTTTAAGAGATCACAGACTTAACTAAGAGAGTTCTAACTTTAAAGGATAACTGCGAATCTGAAAATGAGGCCCACCAGGCAGCAGAGAGTTGGAAGGAGCCCAGTCCACTGTGTTTCTGGAAAAAGCAGTGCACCAACTAGGCTGGCAGATTATAGAATCAGGCAAGACCAGCGAGCACTGCGGTGCGATATGCTTCTGGGCGAGGCTGAGGGGACAGCAGGGGTGGTCCGTGGGAACGGAAAGTAACTAGTTTTTCACCCCTCCCCTCCTAACTTTCCAGATTTTCCCTCATCAACTTATTAGGGGGGGGGGGAAAATCTCCATTATACAAATTAATATAACATATCCAGCTTGAACTAGAACAGCTCACAGAGAAATTGGACAGAAGTTCTATTTGCCGAAGGAAGAAAATCCTGGTAACCCAAACACCATCAGGGCGGCTGAATGCCTTGGATTTGCCTAGACATACTTATGATAAGGCATTTACATAAAAGCCCAGGAAAAGTAAATAGAGAGAAAGAGAAAGATACTTGGTCGCCTGGGGCTGGGAGTGAGAATGAGGAGTTGAATGTGGATGAGCACGAGCCTTCTTCCTTTTAGGGTGGTAGAAATGTTTTAAACTTAGAGTGTAGTGGTGACTGCATAACTCTGTAAATATACTAAAACTCATTGAATTGTGAGCTTTATGGTATGTAAATTATCTCTCAGAAAAACTGTTTAAAAAAAAAAAAAGCAATGCTCAGTAATACATGGCCCTGCACCATGAAGGAGATGAATGTAATTTTAAGAATATGTGGGGTGGGGAGAGACAACTATAGGACACAATTTCATTTGGAATATTTTAGGCTTCTAACATTCCCTGTAGTTGCTTTAGTTTTAGCCGTTACTTCCTTGACTGGTGCTAGGAATCACTAAGCCCTTATCAGGAAAGACTATAGGTAATTTTGTCCAGAGCCAACATACTTATAGAAATAAGTTTAAAATATGGCTTAGTTGGTCTCCTTAAAGTGAAGGAAAACAGAATCTAACTTATCAATTTTTATTTGCCTTTACATCTGTACATGCGGGTGACCATCCTACTTCACAGCATTATTAAAACCTTCAAGAGAGACAATGGACATAATATGCACAGTGCTTGGCACAAAGCAAGTTGTTAAATGTTGCAGCTTTTATGATTTCTTTCTCCATGTCTCTATCCTTGATGTCCACCAAACATGGTTTGCTCTGTTCTGATACTTTAGAAAAGAGGCTATATATTTTATTGTTTGTTTTTGTTTTTAATTTGTAGAAACTGTTCTAAATCTTTCCCTCCCAAATGACTGCTAAAATCAGTGGGCAAAGTTATTATTATGAACTGCGGGGTAAACATGGTCCTCAAAGTCAAAGCCCTCTGGTCCTGAATCCAGACTCACCACATACACAGTAGTGCATGATCTTGAGAAAGACCACACTTGTCCAAAAGAGCCTTATGTTTTTTTAGGAATGTCAGTCAATGCCAAGGTACTGGGATTGTTGTCAGGTGTAGATAAGTGCAAGTGATTTAGCAAGTGGTCAACAAATCTAGTCATAACCACTGGAGTTTTAGTGTGAACTGGCTTCCCCCAGAGCAGAAGAACCCCTTCAGAAATGGACAAAATCACACTCCTAAATCTGTAATGCAGAGGCTTTACAGTTAGGCTCTGGGGTGGGCAGAATAATGACCCTCAAGGATGTCCACATCCGAAATATCAGAACCTGTGGATATGTTACCTTTCATGGCAAAGGGCTCTGCCGATGCGATTATGGTTAAAAACTTTGAGATGAGGTGATTATCCAGGTGGGTCCAATCTAAGAACATGGACAACCTCTCTGGGCTGCAGGGAACCAGAGAGATGGCAGTGTGAGAAGGACCTGATGACCTTTGCTGGCTCTGAAGATGGAAAAGTAGCCCCAAGCCAAGGAGTGTGGGCAGCCTCTCCAGTCAGACAAAGCAAGGATATGGATTCTCTTCTAGAGCCCCCAGAAAGTAATGCAACCCCGCTGACACTTCAAGTTTAGCCAGTGTGAACTACAGAACTGTAAGTTAATTTATTTAAGTCACCAAATGTGTGGTAATTTGTTACAGCAGCCATAGCAAATATAGAGGATCTCACCACTAAAATGAAGTAATTTGAGGAGATTTTATTATAATAAAGGGATTATTTACAAAAGGGTGGGCAAGCTGTGAGAGAAACCATGGGGCCTTTCACAGCAGGGTGCGTGGAGGGAGGGAGGAAGGATGGTCAGGGAACCCAGGGAAACAGGCTGTGTGTGGAGGGGCCTTGATGAAAGCAGCTGGCCCTTGGCAACCCTGCAGAGACCAAGCTGGGGATTAAAATGTCCCCAACTCACTCTCCTCTCTCCCTCAGATCTCCAGGTGAGGCTCCCTCTGTCCGTCACTGGCTGGGCTAAGCCAGGAGCTAGAGTGCCTGGGGTCCTTCAGTGTGGCCCAAAAAGGGTGCAGAGGGCTCTTGGAGCGGGAAATGCAGAACAGGTAAGCAAGAGAACCAACAATGGAGGGGAAGGAGGTCATGTGGCATGAGCCATGGAGAGGGCCATTCCCTCATATTACTAAACTAACACATTATGTAACAACACATAATGTACTGCTATGTCTCCAAACAAAGTGTGTGTGGGAAACAGTAACTTCCTACAGAAAAAACTGCACTTCTTAGGTCTTATTATATGCTGACTGCAATCTTAGAAAGCTTCACCCATGATCTGAACAACTTCCCTACATAGCCCTGAAGGGGGCTGCCAGCTGGGGAACCTGGAGTTTCCTCTAAATGTGCTCGTTTCCTTTCCAGTGAGCCTCTAATAGGGAGTACAATGCCAAAAATAAATTAATAAGGGGTGGAAAACATCAAACTTTCAAACTGGAACTGAGGCCCACTCAAAATGTTCAACAAGTCGTAGGACAGAACATTCTGCCCTAACTCTGAGGCACCCACGCCCACCTACCGCGGACCTGGGAGAAGCAACTGCAGAGAAGTGGGTTTGCAACCTCAAACCCTGGTTACTTGTGAAGAAGACCCCAAACTCTTCTGCCTTCGTCCCTAGGCCTGGTGTGTGATCAGGGAGGCCAAACCGCATGTATTTAAGAAGTAAGAATTCACAAAATAACCTCTAAACAATTTAAACCCCATTATAGACTAGTAGTAATAAAAGTTCATATTTGCTTTCTCTATAAAAATCACTGAACAAGGAAACTAAAACATGAGTCAAGTCTGCATTTTTTATTTTGTTTTTAGAAAGAAGTGATGTGAATTATATTAGTGTATATTCCTAACCTATTTCAGCGCTGATTTCTGGGAAACAAAAGCCCTTGTGGTTAAAATATTGGGATTAGAGTATCTTTTAGATCAGTTCAGCTTACTCTGAAAACCTCTGAAGTCAAGCATTTGGTTAAAAAACTTGCACTCCCCTCAACTGGCCCCTAGGAAAAAAATATCCAAGGGGGCCTTGGCATAGCTTTTCAGAAGTCATTTATAGTTTCTCTGTTACTGTCCCTAGGAAATGTGTCCTTAAGAAACATTTATAAATGATGATTAAGCAAATTCTGAACAAACAGGAAATCATACATGTTAATGCATGGATCTTCCAAATAGATGCTAGCTTTTGGAGAGAAATTTCCAGAACTTCAAAGTGGTGTCAGAACCCTACTGGGCTCCACCTGCTGCTCTGTACTCCCTGGCTCTTGCCTCAGCCAGCTTTCTTGGCTAACCAGGTACAGAAGGCAGCACAGAGCAAAGCCTCAGGCATAAGGAGTTTGCTCCATATCATTCTTGGTACTTATCATGTCACTGGGTCCAAGATGTCCTTATTCTCTCTCTCTCTCTCTCTCTCTCTCACACACACACACACACACACACACACGCACGCACGCACGCACGCACACAAGTCCCTTTAAAGATAAAGGAATGTCAAGGGGGAACAGCTAGCCCATGCCTCTCTCCTTGAGCAGCCACATTACTTGAAAACCCTGTCAACACGGGGCAACTGCATCGCTGCTCAGCTCTATCACCGCTGCTGCCCTCATGAGCACAGACTACCTTAAATAAAAGTGTTGTGCACACCTGTGAAGAGGTAGGCACTGGAGCCATGGGGTTTGGTTTCTAATCCTGGCTCTCCAGCTTGAAAACTGAGTGAACTTGTGGATTTTACTTAAACTTCTGTGTTTCTGTTTTTCTACCATAAGATAGAAGAAATAATAGTACCTATGTAACAGGGGTTCTGTGAGGATGAAATATTTTCATGTATGGAAATATTTAGCACAGTACTCAGCAACAGTAATCAGTCAGTAACTGTCAGCTACCACGTCATTACCATCTCTACTACTATCTCCCCCGCCCCACCTTACCAACCTCATCACTTCATCCTGAACCACACATTTTGCTCCAGACCCTTAGACCTCCTCACCCTCCCAAGTAAAGCACCTTCATTCTCCCCTCTGGTTACTACTCTGCCTCTGCCTGAAGTATCCATCTGTTATTCAGACGCTGTCCGCTTTTCCAGGTCCAGCTCCCCATGGACCCTACAGAGGCATCCACTGGCCATGCCAACTTTAAGGACTATCCCTCTCTAAAATCTGTGGGACATTTTGAGGTGCTAAGCAGCACAACCCTACCTGTTAAGTTCACTAGGTCCTCCTCTCCCCATTTTTTGATGTGTCCTGTACATCCAAACCCTCAGGGCTCAGCCCAGAAAGCCCTGAACCTATATCCTCAGGCTCTTCCTATCTAAACACTGACTGTTGGTAGGAGATAGGGCTGCAGGCTGCTGGCTGGTTTTATGAGATTCTAGCAGCTAGGGGATTGCAATGAATTTAAATTCTCACTTCCAAAGGGTCTGCTATGTGCACTGGCCAATTCTTTTAGCTCTGAATTTTCCAGGTGACAGATTCAGCTTTCTGTTCTGGCACCAACACCAGGACAGAGAAAAGACTCAGTAACAGGAGCTAACACTAACCACTCCTCTTTAGCCAGCAGAGTCTTGCTGCGGCTTCCAAAGGTTCGTGTGTGGGCACATTGGTACTCACCAGTCAGCAATGCATCCAGTTATTAGGTAGCCAAAGATTAATCCAACCAGTAAGGAGAACTTAGCGATATGGACCTTCCAGGCATTATCACACACAAGATCCCACTAGAGAGGGGCAAATAGAAAATAAATCAGAGAGACACATACACACATGCCCGTGGTAGTCAATCATAAGGGCAAAACAATAACTGCGGTGAGGACCATGACACCCCTTACAGAGCCATCTCGCATATACCACTAAGACTCTCGTCAGTGCTCTTGAAAACCCAACAAGAAATATAATTTGCCTATGGAAGGCTGCGTAATGTTTTAGTCTGAGGCAGCTTATAAAAGCCTGCAGGAAGTACCCCCATGAAATCTGGGGATGTGTGTTGCTCCTGCCCCACCTACCACAGGGAATGTAAGCCGAGGGGCAGGGAGCAGCCAAGGAGGCTGGGGCTCCTGGCCACCGGCACCTATGAGCTGTCACGTGGCCCCGCAGACAGGAAGGCCTTGACAGCTTTTTACACCAGATATCGTAATGAGGTGAGGAATTTAAAAATAAGTTTTGTGTTTCCATTCCCCAAAATTCCACAAACTTCACAAGTAATCTTACGAAGAGGGTTAATAGCAAATGTTGAAGTATCAACTTTAATTAAGCATTTGTATTATTTTCCTTGTACTTGTCCTTTGTGTTTTCCCATATTCCACTCTAAAGCTATCTGCTCCAATTGTAGAGAAAGCCAATCAATTAATGAATACAACATTTAGACTATTTTCACAATTAAGTTTTATTATTTAATAAGAAATAAAATAACCCTCCATATTTTCTTTTCTCCTTTTGCAGAAGCAGGAGAGAAATGCATGTTTATTCCCTTAAAGCAATGTGTATCCCAGTAGACCACAAACAGCTAAGTCTGGGCTCAAGGGGCAAACGATGAGAGTCTCTGCTGATGACACCTTAAAGACGGCAGTCCCTGATCCACATCCCCCCGCTCAGCGGTACAGGTGCCCTCGGTATTGTGGAAAAGAAGTGGCTAAAGCTTCCAGTTCTGGTAAGCATGAGTTACTCCGGGTCAATGGGGAGGGGAAGTGAAGAAAGAAGCTGGATAGATGCAGAGTGGGGTTAAGGGAGTGGGCAGTGTCAGAACAGAAGGAGTTCTGGAAGCAGATGCAGGATTTGCGGGGGTGGCGCGGGCTATATGGAAGGTTGGGCTGAGATCTGATCTTGGCTCTGCCTTCTCTGATATTTTCCCCTTTCTGTCCATCTTGAGACCAAGAGTATAATGTAGGGGATCCTTAGAGGGCACTGTAAACTCAGGTCAACTTCTGGAGAGTCTGATGGAGACCCTCAGGAGTTCCTAGCTATGGGTCTGAGCTCAATGGGCTTTGGGAAAAGCTGAATTTCTGCAACCGACTCTGGAGAAAGGCACCTGGCCCAGACAAACAGGAAGGCAGCTGCCTGTCACATTTTTCCCCAGACTCCCTGGGACACAAAGACTGGCTCACTGATGCTTCCAAGTCATTTCCAACTTTCCTGGGGAGAGTTACTAACTCATCTACCTCATCAGCTTCCTGAGTGACGGCCAATGCTAGGTTCACGAAGAAAAGGAATGCCAGCACAGACTGGCTGCAAAGGGCCTCGTCAATAGGGGATGGTTTGGGTGTGATGCTGTCCTCATTTTCCATGTGTTTGGGGAGTGGGGCACTGCTGGTTGCATAGAATCTTATTAAGAATTCAAATAAAGGCGTTTCTTAAATCTGTAACTTCCTCCAATGTCTATTCCAGTGGTCCTCAAGGTGTGGTCTCTCTAATAGCACTTGGGAATGTGTTAGAGGTGCAAATTCTTGAGCCCCACCCCAGACCCCAGAATGAGAGCTTCCTGAATGAGGTTAATTGGCAGAGGTAGTTTAACAAGCCTTCCAGGTGATTCTGATGTCTGCTCCAGTCTGAGAACCACTGGCCAGCCAGGCCCTGCCATTTCCCTGCCATCCTGAAGACGATGAATGGGCTTCACAGTCCTGGGCTGAGGTTCAAGAGCAGTGTGCAGCCAACATCAACCACACACAGTAGCATTGGCTATTCTTGTGTACTGCAAATGCAGGCTCGTAAAACTAGATTATGAGTTAAGTGGGCTTTTGATGGAAAACCTGGAAAGCCTACATTCATGTATATATTGTTTCTAGGAGAAAATATATTTTTAATAACAAATAACTTTCAAGGTGCAACCTATAACTTCAGAAATGCAGGTTCTGCCTATGCTGTGAGTTTCAGCATCATAACTAACAGTGTGTGTATACCTGCTTCCCTGGTCAGGTGTATACATTGAGACCATCCTTGAGTTCCTTTCTCTCCTCACGCCAGCACAGGAACCTGCACACAAAGTAATCGACTTCAAGAGTAAGAGCTACATCTATAAGCACAGCTGGCTAACGTGGGAGAGGCGGTGCTACGACACTTGTACTCGTCATAGCCCAGTCACACCACACCTGCCTGTGCCTCAGCCTGGCACATTCTTGGCAAGAGAGGGGCACACCTGATCCCAGGCTGCTGCTGAGGAGGGCACCAGCTGCTAACTCTGTCGCAGAGGCATTGGCTCGGGTCTGTACCCAGGCTTCCCACTGATGAGTTTACTTGAGGTTAAGTGATACAAGGGAGCACATTATGCTTATATTAGGTGGCCAGGAGACAAGAGGTTCTTATAAAAGCATTCAGGGAGGTGGGGGAAACTGCCAATATTGCTGTGAACTCAGCCACCTGTTCATAACTCTACCTGACCTTGGGCAGCTAAGACTCAATTTAGGTTCCACCAAATCAGATGTTCACTGGCCTCCTCAATACAACGTTTATCAATTTAACACACTGAAGTGGAAAATTAAAACAGCTGAGAGAGGTAGAACCACTTCCATATCCAGTAGGGAAAGAAAGCCTGGCTGGAAGCGTTTTTAGGCACTGCTGTTCTCAGCCTGGGGTGGGGGCCAAGGGGTCCAGGACCAAACAGCCTCCTGTTGCATCAACCCCTTCAGTTAGGCACTGAAGTAGACAGCATCTCTGAGTCAACAAGCGAGCTGACTCCAGGCCCCAGCAGGTTTCCCAAGGTAAGGTTCCTCGTGCCTGGGGCTCTGCCTATTACAACCCCCTTGAAAGCCTGCAGGGCCACCCAGAGGCACATTCCACAAACCAGGAAGGGTGGGGCTGGTGGCTCCAGTGAGACAACATCCCTTGTTTGACATCTATATTTGCAAAAATGTACTGGGAAAAAAAAATATATTCACACGTGTTACCTTCAAGAGAATCTCAGAAGTATGAGGAAGCTTTGAGATTAGCTTGCTCCCAAAATTTGTTTGCTCCACTAAGGCAACTGATCATTTCACTAAGCAAAGACTAAGAGACTTTAAAAAATCTACAGCATGCCAAACCAGGACTTAATGCAACAGGTTTTGTCTCCGCCATTACCCTGCCACTTCCCTCTTCTCATACCCTCCCACATCAACTGGTCACCACTTCCAGGAATTCTCCCTTTCACACATGTCCTACACTTCTCTCTCATACTCCATCTCCACTTGGACAAGCTGATCTATGGGCACAGGCTAGGGGTTCATGCACCATCCTGCTGGTGTGTGGGCTGGAAGGCTAACACACACACACACACACACACAATCAATCAATCTCTCTCTCTCTCTCTCTCTCTCCCCCTGCCCCCCCTTCCAGACTTCCTTACAGCTAAAGTTTCAAATGTGATTTAGGTTTTGCCAATCAGCTACATGACCCAAAATAACTTCCAGTGCACAACCTAGTTCTAATTTTCGGGAAGATGACTTGAATTAGAAAGCATGTGAAGCGGGGAGTAAGTGGGACATCCATTCTGCTGGTCAGATCTGACTTGGTTCAAAGGTGGCTAAGCTGTGATCTTGGAGCCAGCAGCTCAATGGAGATGGACCCCTGCTTCCCCAGTTTCCTCACTGTGGCTCACTTCCCTGGGCAGGCCAGCCTAGGGAGCTGTTCTAGAGGTCCTTTTGGAGGCCCAGGCTTCAGCTGCTCTATATTTTACTGAGCACTATTTCCCTGTGTTCAATCCCTAGCTCCTTAAATATCTAGTGTGGTTTCTGTTATCTGCAAAGTGAACTCTATTCCCTGACTAAATTTCCTTCAGATGGAGTTGGCAGAACTAGGTGTCACTATCCTCCCTGCCTGAACTAATACAAGAGTCTTCAAGCATTAACTGCAGCTTTCCTCAGATCCATTCCCCACACAGCAATGAAAACACTCCTCTTATTAGGCATGTCAACACTTCATCGGCAGCTCTAACAAGATCATGAAAGTGTTAAAGTCACAGCCCCATTTCATAATCATGGGCTTGCCTTCTTTGCCATTGTTCCAAGACCAGTGACATCTGTGGGGATGCCACATGATGTTTGTGAGCCACAACTAAACAGTGAGAAAATGAGCCCTAAAAAGTGTTCTCAATTTTAGTTGCACGTGTTCCTTAAAAAATAAAAAGGGTAGAGGTTATAGAAAACTTCGTAGATTTTTCTCTACCTATATATTTTTAAGGATACAGTAAAAGAAAATTCGTATTATTTGCAAAGGAATAATCTTCTAATTGTTTGACTTGCCAGAGAAATATTCATCAAGGGAACTAATGAAAGGTCTAATGAAGATGGAAAACAAGTGGGAGATAAAGAAAACAATCTTATTTTCAGCAATAATGAATACCATAATAATGTAAAATGTAAAACAAGAACATAAAAAGGAAGGAACATAAAAACAGAGAACAAAAGAAGAACATAAACACATTGGAAAGAAACATTACTTATCCAATTGTGAAGTGAAGATGGAATCCCTAAGAATGAAAACTAAGGTGAAAAAACTATCTAAGGAAAGACTGACAGATTCTGTAAGTTTAACTAACTGCTACTACTTAGGTATTATTTTAATTATTTAAAAATTCCATGCATCAAAATACCATAAACAAAACTTGTAAAATATATTGTATGGGATCAGAATATGCCACCTGAAAAGATGCCACTTTGACATGAGGACAATTTTCAACTGGAGGCAAATGAGAATCAACAGAAGCAGAAAGAAGCCTTCTCAAAGCGTTGCCTGTCTGATTACAAGTAGA